ACCAACTAGAGAATGGACTTGAGGATATGGGGAGGGGGAAGGGTAAGCTGTGACAAAGCAAGAGAGAGGCATGGACATATATACACTACCAAACGTAAGGTAGATAGCTAGTGGGAAGCAGCCGCATAGCACAGGGAGATCAGCTTGGTGCTTTGTGACCTCCTGGAGGGGTGGGATAGGGAGGGTGGGAGGAAGGGAGATGCAAGCGGCAAGAGATATGGGAACATATGTATATATATAACTGATTCATTTTGTTGTAAAGCAGAAAGTAACACACCATTGTAAAGCAATTATACTCCAATAAAGATGTTAAAAAAAGGAAAAAATAAATAACAAATTGCATTTTAACAATCCTGCAATCTAAGCTCTCTCCCATCTTGATTTCTGGTTTTGACATCATATTTTACATCATTTTTGTTTTGTGTACCTCTTAATTACTTGTTGCTGACTAAATGCTTTTATTGCTTTTGTCTTTTAACCTTCCTACTATCTTCGTACATGTGTATTTACCTTTACCAGTGAGACTTTTCCTTTCGTAATTTTTCTGTTTTTAGTTGGACCTTTTTCACTTGGAGAAGTACCTTTAACATTTCTTGTAAAGCTGGTTTGGTGGTGCTGAACTCTTTGAGCTTTTGCTTGTCTGTAAAACTCTTCATCTCCATCAAATCTGAATGAGAGCCTTGCCAAGTAGAATATTCTTGGTTGTAAGTTTTTCCCTTTCATTATTTTAACTATATCATGCCACTCCCTTGTGGCCTGCAGTTTCTGCTGAAAAGTCAACTGATAGTCTTATGAGAGTTCCATTGTATGTAACTTCTTGCTATTTTTTTTTTGCTGCTTTTAATATTCTTTCTTTATCTCTAATTTTTGCCATTTTAATTACAATTGACTTGTTGTGGTCCTCTTTGGGGTGATCCTGTTTGGGACTCTCTGTGCTTCCTGAACCTGGATACCTATTTCCTTTCCCAGGTTCAGGGAGTTCTTCAAATATTTTCTCTGCCCCTTTCTCTCTCTTCTTCTTCTGGTACCCCTAATACCCTATAATGTGAATGTTAGCATGTTTGACATTGTCTCAAATGTCTCTTAACCTATCCTCATTCCTTTTTTTCTTTTTTCTCTCCAGCTTCAGTGATTTCCACTACTCTGTCTTCCAGCTCACTGATCTGTTCCTCTGTATCATCCAATCTACTGTTGATTCCTTTTAGTGTTTTCTTCATGTCAGTTATTGTATTCTTCATCTCTGTTTGGTTCTTCTTTATATTTTCTAACTCTGTTAAAACTTCTGACTTCTCACTCTGTTCATTCAATCTTTTCCTCACTTCTTTGATCATCTTTATCATGAATCATTACCTTGAACTCTTTATTGGGTAGATTGCCTCTCTCTACTTCACTTAGTTCTTCTTCTGGGGTTGTATCATGTTTCTTTTTTGGGAACATGTTCCTCTGTCACCTCATTTTGTCTAGTTTTCTGTTTTTATTTCTATGTATTTGGTAGGTTTCTTAAATTTCCTGACTTTAGAGAAGTAGTCTTTTGTAGGAAACATCCTATGCATTCCGGCAGCACACTCCCCTCTGTCAGCAGAGCTATGTGCTCTAGGGTTGCCCCCTATGTGGGCTGCATGGGTCTTCTTTTGTGGCAGGTTGACCACTGTGAGTGCTCTGGTAGGTGTGGCTGGCCCCTGGTCTAGTTGGTTGCCTGTCAGCTGCTGGTTGTTGGGGCCGGGTCATGACACAGCTGACTGCTGAGCCACTGGTGGTGACATAGCTAATGGTGGCCCACTGGTGGTGGAGCTGTGGGTCCTGGGGTGGGTGTTGTGGAGCCTGTGTTACCATGTCTAGTGTTGGCCTGCTTTGGGGCTGATTCCTGACACAGCTGGCTGTGGGTTCTGAGGTTTCTCAAAGCTGTTGCTGGCCCACTGGTGAGTGGGACTGGATTCCAGGGTAGCTGGCTTAGGGGCCCAAGATTTATCAGAACGGTTTTGGTCTATTGGTGGGCAGGGCCCAGGCCCAGGAGGTCCTAGGGCTGATGTAGGCTTGCTGATGGGTTGGCTGGGTCCTGACAAGGCAGGCTGAAAGTTTGCAGTGGTCATGGTACTGGTATCTGCCCACTAGTTTGTGGGACCAGATCACAGGGTAGCTAGCTGGAAGACCTGAGGGTCCCTGGTCTAGTGCTTGTGCATTGGTGTATAGGGCTGGTTTCTGGGCCCTCTGGTGGACAGGGTCTTTTTCCATGGCAGCTGTGGGCTCAGGGGGTCTTATGGAAACTGGTCTGCTGATGAGTGGAGCTATAACTTCTCCTGACTATCTGCTTGATCTGAGGCTTCCCAGCACTGGCTCCTACAGGCTGGTGGGCAGGGCTGGGGCCAGTCCTAGTGCTGATAAGCTGGAGGGAGGACTCCACAGTGGCACTTGCAACAACAGTGTCCACATGGTAGAACGAGCTCCCCAAAGTGGCCACCGTCAATGTCCATGTCCCCAGGGGAGCTCCACGTGCCTCCTTCTCCTCTGGAAGACTCTCCAAGATCAGCAGGGGGGTATGACCCAGGCTCCTTTCAAGTAATTTCTTATTCCCTAGGTGCTGGAGTGTGTGAACTTTTGTATGTGTCATATAACAGTGGAGTCTCTGTGTCCTCCTGTCTCCTGGCTCTCCTGAAAGTAAACCCAGCTGGCCTTCAAAAACAAATGTTCTGGGCTCTCGTCTTCCTGGTGCAGGACCCCCGGGATGGGGAGCCTGATGTGGGGCTCAGACCCATTTCTCTTTGGTGAGAACCTCTGCAATTGTAATTATCTTCCCGTTTGAGGGTCACCCACCCAGAGGTATGGGTCTTGACTTACCATGTCCCTGTCCCTCCTACCTGTCTCGTTGTGGTTCCTTCTTTATATCTCTAGTTGTAGAAGATATTTTCTGTTAGATTCCAGTCTTTTTCTTCAATAGTTGCTCTGTAAATACTTGTTGTTTTGGTGTGTCCATAGGAGAAGGTGAGCTTAAGGTGTTTCTACTCCTCCATCTTGGCCACCTACCTCCAGAATTATTCTACATTTCTATTCCTTAGTGCTACATTTTCTTTCGTCAGGTTGCACAGACCTTTGTTACTCAGCATCTTGCCACACCCATTCTTTTTTGTCCAGTGGTAGCTTGTAGACCCACTTTTTGTAGTTATGGACTGAATGAATTCTATAGCATATGTATAGGTGGAACTAAGGATGCCACTTCAGCACAAATATTTGTAATAATATTTTAGTCATTTTAATATATATTCTAATGAGTTTTAAGTCTGCAGAAGAAAGGAAAGAAGTGGGTATTACCAACTGAATTTCTCTTTCAGGAATCCTTTGAGAAGGCAAGCAGCAGTGGAGCAGGAAGCCTGAAAAGTGAGCTTTCAGAAAGCACAGACCTGCCGCCTGAGGGCTTCCAGGCCCCCTGTGATAAGGACGAAGACCGAGCCTGTGCTGGAATCTTGTCAGATGATAACTTCAACTTGGAAAGTATTGAGAAAGGTATTTCTAGTGAAAGGGTTACAACAAGAATGAACTCTTGACTTCTTTCTGTTTCAAGGTTCATTTGCTCTTTATTTTTTTTATTAATGTGCAGATATATATTCAGAATTGGACACTTTGGATAACTCAAGCAGCTCCAGTTCAAGCCCTTTGAAGGAATCTACATTCAGTAAGCCTTCTTTTTACCAGTTTGTAGGATTTCAGCAGGTAGAGGTCTGGGAATCATACTTGGGAGTCAAGTAGATGTCATCACACTTACATAAATGAGTAGTTTGTTTCCCAGGTGTAATGCTAATTAGGACAGGTGTGTCTGTCAGTCTTACAGAGCCCAAAGGCCAACGGGCACTGTGGTTTTCCATTGCCTCCAGTCAAATGAACAGTTTCATTATTTCTTCCAGCAAATGCAGGTTCTAACTGGGGAGTGGAGATAACTCATTTGGAGACAGACTAAATAACCACAGGAGTAATGGAAGTGACCTTTCATGAGTCTGTTGATTAGAGGTCAGAAACCTGGAAAAGAAATTAGTCTTGGTGTAGACTAAGTTTTGTACAATTTTATTTACATTAATATAAAGGGATATATTTTCCTTAAAACACTAAAGTAAAATAAATGTTTTAATTGTTTAGAATTATAAAAAGAAGCTATGTAAATTCAGTAAATATGTTCATCTTTACTCTTAATTTGAAACAGTAAAAAAAAATCAGACTGGGGTATGAGAAAGTAAAGATATATTTAGATAAAATTTAAAGAATCTTCCTCACAGAAAGATAGGATTCAATTCCCTGAACAAATCTGAAACTGAAATAAAAGATCAGTTAAAATAGAAAATGGAGAGAAAAGAATAACTCTTTAAAAAGAGTAAATTGATGGAATATTAAATAAGATAGGTAGAAATACTCTGGAATAAATTAAGTCTAAATAATCCCCTCTCATCAATGACTATACTGTGAAAATTTCATAAAAAATGGTTTAAAATAATGTCCCTAAGTATCAGAGTAGAACTCTAAGGATTTTGCTTCATTCTTTGTCCCTTTTGAAAATTAATTGGTCCATAAAAATGGAGAATAGATGTTCCAGATTTTCTGGGGCAACCCCAAATTCCAACACTCTGTTCTGTTTTCCCTATAAATTCCTGCCTGATAAATAAAATGTCTTGATTTGCGATTGGGAAAACATGAATATTATGCAGTAAAAATATTTGTGCATTTAAACATATGTAGGAAATTCTAGAAGCAATTAATTACTAACTGTTTGAGATGAATTTTTAGATGATGGGATATTATGTATCCCCAGTAACAAGGGTGGGGAGGGTCAGTGGGGAAGTGATAAAGGAAAGTTGGACCCTTACACTTGCATGTGGTTACTTCTAGCTTTCTTGGTAAAGGATTTAGGATGATTATGACACAGATATTTTATGAACTTTTTAGCTATTAACAATGGAGTTTCTTTGTTTAGCACCTTTTCTTTGAGAAAAGACCTTTAAACAAACCTGTCAAGTAAATAGTAATATGCAATATTATATTTTGCTGATGCTATAATAAATGAAGACAGTCTTTACAGTAGGTACAATTGGTTAGATATTTTTTAAACAAACAAATGAGTGAATAAGTAAAAGATCTGCCACAGGAAAATGTTAAGTTATTTTTATTTTCTTGTTTCAGTCACTTTAAAGAGAAGTTTTAGTGCTTCAGGAGGAGAAAGACAATCCCAAAAAAGGTATGTAGACATTGAGCTCCTAGAAATATTTTTAGTCTCTGCAGAGCTGAGCTTTTGGTGGCTAAATTGATGCCTGATAACAGAAGTTATGTGGGCATGTGGTACCAGAGGCTATTGGAGCCCACCCTCCCAGAACTGATTATACTTTACCAAGGAGTGTACTGGGAAGAGCACTAAGCTTGGGCCTGGGTTTTAGTCTGGCTTTGTGATCCTCAGCCACTCAGTTAGTCTCTCTGAGCTCAAGGGTGACCCAGGGAGGTAGGGCTTCATGAAATCATCTGGAGCTGTGGCTCCTTATACCTTGTTTTTCTACACCCCTGGGGTATAGGTCTTATGCTCATTGCAAACGTGGCAAATGTGGATCACATCACACCCACATCCAGCCAGCAGGAAGTGGGATGGGAAGTAGAGACATGCCCTTCATTTTATGGATATAACCCAGACGTTGTGTTCTTCCCTCCTGCTCACAGATCAGTGGCCACATCTAGCTGCAAGGGAGAATGAATATGTTTGGAGGATTCTGTTTTAAAAGAAGGAATTGTTATTTTGGAATGACTAGCAGTTTCTGCAATAGTTGTCTCTTGGGCTAAGAACTAAAATGAAACTCTTTGATTTGGCCTTTTGCAAGTCCCTGGTAACCTTCATAAGAGCTGTTCAGTGGCCTTGGGTGAGGCTGGTGGTGGGAAGCCTGATCATGGTGGTTTTAGAAGTTACAGAGGCAGAGATGGAGAGCAATTGAAGAAAGGAGTGGGCTGACAGTGAGCTGGTAGGGAATGTTTGATGGAAAAGGGCCTTCTAGGATCAGGATGACTGTGGGGTGTGTGGACTGAGGAGAAGCAGCTGATGGAGAGGAGAGATTGAAGATGGTTCCCAGTCTCAGAGCAGCTTGGAGCTAGAGAGCAGGCCTGAAGGGATAGCCATCAACTGTGTCTGAAGAAAGAGAGGCAAAGATAAAATTAAGCTAGAGAGGCAGAGGAGAGGGATATTAGGGAAGATTATACTTGGTGTTTTTGATTTTGGACACACAAAGCAGTGAGTGGTAGCTTGCAGTGAGCAGCGGCTGGAAGCAAGACCTTAGTTTCCTGACTGGGAATCAAACCCTGGTCACCTGGGTGGAAACCAGGAATCTTAACCGCTAGACCACAGGGACAGCAGCTAGAGTCTAAATCCCCAGTCCTTGTCTGCCTTGTAAGGAGGAATCTGACAAGGAGACAGTTGGTATAGAAGAAAGTAAAGTGTTTACTAGAAAAGCAGAGTAGATGCGGAAAGACACACTGGTGAACTCAGCAAGAGAGTTGCAGAAGTCCTGCCTTTGGGAAGTTTAAATCCTTTATAAGGGGGCAGTCTTCTGGGCCTTTGTCTTCTTGGCCAATCGACTTGCTTTGACCCCATGGCTAATTTGTCTCAGGACCCTCCCCTCCGTATGCACACACACCTCAGTCAAGATGGATTTCATCGCAAGGGTGTCTGGGAGGGAAAACAGCAAGACATTATGGTCTGGCCTCCCCTGCATTTTTGACCCCATGGAGCCTTCCTGCATACCTGTAGTGCTTTCCTTCTTCCAAGGATGGGAAATGTGTGACTTCTTGATCTTCTAACAGGGTTTAGCCTCTCTTTCTTCCTGCCATAAAAGTGTCCAATGTCTAGTTATTTACCCTATTCCTGTTGTTGTTCCGTTTTTTTTTTTTTTTACCTTTATTGGAGTATAACTGCTTTACAATGGTGTGTTAGTTTCTGCTTTATAACAAAGTGAATCAGTTATACATATACATATGTTCCCAGATCTCCTCCCTCCTGCATCTCCCTCCCTATCCCACCCCTCCAGGTGGGCAAAAAGCACCGAGCTGATATCCCTGTGCTATGCAGCTGCCTCCCACTAGCTATCTTGGTAGTGTATATATGTCCATGCCACTCTAACGCGTCATCACAGCTTACCCTTCCAGCTCCCCAAACCCTTAAGTCCATTCTCTAGTAGGTCTGTGTCTTTATTCCCGTCTTACCCCTAGGTTCTTCATGAAATTTTTTTTTCTTAAATTTCATATATATGTGTTAGCATATGTTACCTGTCTCTCTCTTTCTCACTTACTTCACTCTGTATGACAGACTCCAGGTCCATCCACCTCATTACAAATAGCTCAATTTCATTTTGTTTTATGGCTGAGTAATAATCCATTGTATATATGTGCCACATCTTCTTTATCCATTCATCCGATGATAGACACTTAGGTTGTTTCCATCTCTGGGCTATCGTAAATAGAGCTGCAATGAACATTTTGGTACATGACTCTTTTTCAATTATTGTTTTCTCAGGGTATATGTCCAGCAGTGGTATTCCTGGGTCATATAGTAGTTCTATTTGTAGTTCTTTAAGAAACCTCCATACTGTTCTCCATAGTGGCTGTACCAATTCACATTCCTACCGGCAGTGTAAGAGCGTTCCCTTTTCTCCACACCCTCTCCAGCATTTATTATTTGTAGATTTTTTGATGATGGCCATTCTGACTGTTGTGAGATGATATCTCATTGTAGTTTTGATTTGCACTTCTCTAATGATTAATGATGTTGCGCATTCTTTCATGTGTTTGTTGGCAGTCTGTATATCTTCTTTGGAGAAATGTCTATTTTGGTCTTCTGCCCATTTTTGGATTGGGTTGTTTGTTTACTTGTTATTGAGCTGCATGAGCTGCTTATAAATTTTAGAGATTAATCCTTTGTCAGTTGCTTCATTTGCAAATATTTTCTCCCATTCTGAGGGTCGTCTTTTGGTCTTCTTTATGGTTTCCTTTGCTGTGCAAAAGCTTTGAAGTTTCATTAGGTCCCATTTGTTTATTTTTGTTTTTATTTCCATTTCTCTAGGAGGTGGGTCAAAAAGGACCTTGCTGTGATTTATGTCATGGAGTGTCCTGCCTATGCTTTCCTCTAAGAGTTTGATAGTTTCTGGCCTTACATTTAGGTCTTTAATCCATTTTGAGCTTATTTTTGTGTATGGTGTTAGGGAGTGATCTAATCTCATAATTTTACATGTAGCTGTCCAGTTTTCCCAGCACCACTTATTGAAGAGGCTGTCCTATCTCCACTGTACATACTCCCTCCTTTACCAAAGGTAAGGTGATCATACGTGCATGGGTTTATCTCTGGGCTTTCTATCCTGTTCCATTGATCTATATTTCTGTTTTTGTGCCAGTACCATACTGTCTTCATTACTGTAGCTTTGTAGTATAGTTTGAAGCCAGGGAACCAGATTCCTCCATCTCCATTTTTCGTTCTCGAGATTGCTTTGGCTACTCGGGGTCTTTTGTGTTTCCATACAAATTGTGAAATTTTTTGTTCTA